ACGCTCCACTCGCCCTATATTTATTTACTTTCAATATGTATTATGATTAACAGATAAACGGCAAAGATGCTTTCCCTATTACTTCACCGGCGATACTGGGTAGTTTCAAACAATTCGATCTGAAAATGGTCGCAGATAACTATGGATAACGATGGATAAAGACTTCTTTGCAGACAGCTGGTCAACAGAGTGAGTGGCGTTTTTGTGACAATATACTGCTTATTTTTTTCTAAACCTATTAGCTTGATACGTATCGCAAGATTTTAGCAGGTCTAAAAGAGTTATTTTTACCTGAAAATAAAGCACTGTTCCTTTAAATGTTCAGTACAATAACTTGAACTCCACACACAAAAGTGCACTTATAGGCTGCTACGATATTATGGCTTTCCACAACACCCAGTTATAATTATTAGTCAACTGACATTGATTAACATTATCTTTTATCTCGTGATGTTATGCAACAAAACTATAATGAGAATCAATTTTTGAACAATGATAACTGGCATGATAATTATGGAAAACCTGCCCATCATAAGTTACGCCCTCTAGTGGTTAAGCGTTTCTATGATGTAATAGGTGTAATGGACGCCATTCCCAGCGTTAGTTAAAGTTATTATAATCTTTAATCGTCTGTCAATGAAAACAAAACTGTTATAGGCACTGTTTACTAAGGACGAATCAACTACCAGTACACAGCCAAACAGAGTCAGTCGTCTATGAATATCATTGCCACGCCAAGAAAGCGTTTCGTCGCTGGCGGGCGCGATTTAATTGAAAGGTGGCGTTGGTAGTATTGTTTCAAGTTAGTCAGAGGGAGCTGTACGTTGGAAGGGTGGAGTAGTAGGTTTAAACACAAAATGCTGATTTATTTGCGTGAGTGTTAAAAAAATGATACACGTCTGCTGGATGTCAGTTCCGATTATTGGCACCATTCATTAGAAATTAATGACGTAATATAATCACGGAAATGAAGTTTACATATTCAAAATTTCGCCTCTGTGAAAAATACCAATTACACTATTAACCACGGTTACTTTTTTAGTAACCGTGTATTAACTGATGTGGAAATAATAAATAAATCACAGTACAGTACAAATAATAAAATAATTTGAATATAAAAATAAAATTAGTCACAAGCCTGCATGGGTAGCATTCCTCATTCCCAGCTTATTCTTCTGTTTCTATTTCAGATGTGCATAGTACGTACCGGAACATCCCGAATGACTTCTGATGGTGTTTCTGTCACAGTCTCTAAACATACCTCGTGGGCATTGAAGTCAAAGCATGTGAAGTAGACTTAGATATTATGCGGCATACGCACTTTCATAATGTGTCGTTGGTGGCGGTAGTGAAATATGCTGATAGAATAAACGAATGTTCGCGCAATAAAAGCGTGTGTGGTGTCATATTATTCCCACATATCAGCAATACATGGAGGGTAGAGTGTTCAGTGTTATATTGTCCAAATGTGTACATGTAGGTCAGTCACTGATTGGACACGCGGCCTGCCGCGCCCTTACCACTGAATACGGGGATAAGTGGTACGGCCAAATTGACATATATTTTAAGTTGTTTATGCGGTCCACAAATTAAAATGCGGGATTGAATGTGCTGTGTTTAATTCATACGAGCGCAAACTGAATATTCCAACGAATCAAATGTTGTACTAACTGATTCAACACCGCCCATTGCTACGGCATTGAATAATGCACGTTGGGTCATATTGTCGAAAATGGCGCTCACTTCTTAAAATTTAGTGAGTGCCCATCGTAGTTGCCTTTCGGGGGTCATACGTGTATGGGCTTGGTGATATTGTGTGAAGTATTTATATTTGGTCGTTTGAATTTATGCAAATTAACAAAAAATGTGTGAAAAGTTTTATTTTCAATGATTTAGATTTTGACTATTGTCGATCGTTTCAGCTTCCCACTTATGTTCGATTTTTAGATAGCATCGCTTTTGAATAAATAGTACTCCGATACGCATCGCGATTCGCAAAGATTCGATTTAGTTCCAACTTGGTGAGAACTGCAGTAATTCGGAACACACTAGGTTTCGCAATGCGCGAGACCCATTTAAATCTAAGGATGCGCCCTGTTTTTGTTTTTACAATGATACCCTCATGACACATATGGCTACATTATTTAAAGGGAAAGTCAAGGCTAACAACATAATACTCCCAAATAAAAGAGCTTGGCAAATGTAAGAACATGCAATTCACATTTTTTATATCACTTTTCATTCTTTATATATTCAACTTTTCATCAATTTATGTAGTGCGCCATCTTGATTCTTGAGCAAAGGATTATGGGTAAAATATGACATCATAGAATCTGTTGTCAGAAATTAAGAAAATGTTTTCATCTGACTCGTAACTTCAAAAGCAATTAATAACCAATTGGAACGTTCTACATATTATAAAAGACAGCTGAAAATAATTTTGGGGCATATTTCAATAATTGATTTCGGTAAGGTCAATTTAGTATGTAAAATAACAATGTTCTTATGGCAAGATATGCCACGCCCCAGATATACCTACAGGCCGTCGTACCAGGTTGGAAAGACCCTGTCGTTTCCACATGAAATGGCAGCTTTGTTCGCTGTCGTCATTCAATATATGTATATGTACCCCTGTTAAAAATTACAACTTATGGGCAACAGTAGATACCGAAATATTTTTGATCAGGGAGCGATAAATATTAGACATTCGCATAATGTTACCAAATATGGAAAATAATGACGTCACTTAGCGACAGCGTGTGCAGTTACTAAACCAAAGCGCATGCGCATTAGCATTTTTTATGGAAAGGCGGATGTACCCTATCGATACAAGTCGGAATCGACGTCTCTTTTAATGTGTGGACACCCCTCTGTGTTCCTGTGACCGATGCCAGCTTTTGACGATAATGTCGAAACGAAACCTGCTCGTCGTGACCTAGAACAATTTATATAAGTCGTATCAACAACAAAATGCAAGTCAATGACCTTTGCCACAGTCTCTCTATCTAGAGGTACTGTGCCTTAACTAAACAACTAAATGAGTATGTGTCTGGGGAATAGGGAACATGGAACCCGTTTATTATTTCTTCATCCACATAGGTTATATTTTGCTTATTGGTTAAAAAAAAGTGTATAATCCGTAAACAATGTACAGTAATTATTTTATTGGCTGGGTCATTTCCGGAACTGGCCATGACACGATGATATCGACATCAATTTTAGGAAACAAAAGGCATATTTCTAAGAAGTCTGCGAATGGTCAAAATAACAATTTCGTCGAAAGTCAAGTATATCGTGTGTTTTTTCGAACTTCCTCCAATGTGACACAAATTGATGAATTACAACTCGCCGGATTTGAAGTTTATAAAATAGAATATAAAAACATGTTATCAAATAGCTGCTTGTCCTATGTTAGGTCTCCAGAATTACTTAGAAGGGAGAAAATTATACATACAATAGTTACTGAAATAACGATTTATTAGACACAGAAAAATAAAGTAAACTATTGACTTTTATTTCATGAAAAAAGGCATTGATCTGCTTCATTATACAAGTACAAAAACTGAACTGTTCAAGACAGGCAACAATACAGCAATGTGAGTACAAAAATAGAACTTGTATCAGTAATCAGTATGCAAATCATCAAAGTTGTAGCGAGGCATCGTCTTCGTCGTCTCCCATGCTTATTGCACCTAGTAATACAGGCACAGATAGACAGTTCGTCGAGAATAGCATATAAGTTTTTTTACAAAATAATATTTTATTAGTAGTATTCTTACAATCTGGTGTTCAACAATGTTCAAGCTTTGCAAGGCGATTTTCGGACATTCCAATAAATTTAATAAGACTGTTTGGATTTCCACTTAGCACGAAGGATAAATTCCGGTTTTTGTAACAACATTACCATTACAACACATACTGAAAGAAGCGTCATAGGAGGATGTACCGCAGCAAGAAGGCCGTATCCCGGTCTTGCTTCTCACTTGGCCATTACAGCACATACTGAACGAGGCGTCGTAGGTGTTCGTAGCACAGCAGGCTGGACGGATACCGATCTTCGATCGCACTATCCCGCCGCAGCACATAGAAAATGCGGCATCATAACCGGACGAGCATGGCTGTAAATTACACACAAAAATAATCCTTATTCTATGTGTAAAGTTGTCAAATATTATGAAATGAAAACAGAATACTACATTGTATGAAAAATAAAAAAATATGTACAATTTGCGAAGATCTACCTTTTCCGGTCTGAGCATTTCGGCCACGCGATTTGCTAAAGGTGGAATGAGTTCGTGGTGCAAATATTATTTCAGCATTTTTTGCACAAATTAAACGTTGGATACTAGTACATCCCAGGTTTTTTACGTGTGGCTGAAAAGTGATTCTTTAAATTTGAAAATGTGATGTAAATGAATAAATAGACTTGCTCAAAATATGAGGCGAGTTGATCGTATTGATAGCTAGAAAATTCCCGACGTATTAAAAGTTATTTTATTACCACAGTGTATTTTTTTGTTTTTTGAAATGTGATTAAAAGTAAAAACTAGATTTATGAAAACTCACCCTGCCACCACTCCCAGTTCCACCACCACCGGTACCACCACCGGTACCACCACCACCACCACCAGTACCACCACCTCCGGAACGTCGACGACGTCTACGCCGGCGCCAACCATCAACCGAGACAAGACTATCAACGATCACCAACACAAGAAGTATAAGGATCAGTGTCT